GAGCAGGAAGTCCCGCCCACAGCACCCCCTCCCCGCCACCCTGAGAGCAGAGGACTTCTGGCTAGTTAGGGGCGGCTGGGGAAGGGCCCCCGGGGTCCTCCTGCTCCTGCCACTGGCAGATGTGCCGCTCTGTTGACATATCCACCCAGCCCTCTGTGAGCAGGTGCATGAGGCAATTTTTTTCATTTCGTCTTAGCAAGTTAAACTGTAACTATGAGGGCAGCATAACCAGCCCTGGTGGCTAGCAAGGGATTTGGGAGCCAACGTGATCTGCTGACAGCTGGGTGATCCCTGTCACTGAGGACCAGGTACTATCACTCACCCAATAAAGATGGCACCTGGGGTGTGCCGAAAACTCAGAGTACTTGCCACCCATCCAAAAATAAATGGAATTTATCATAAACACCATGTTCTTTGTGCACGAAGGTTATAAATAGTCTCTATTTTGATCAACCAGGAAAATAAGTCATTATTTTAAAGACTCAACAAATACTGAAACTTTTTTTTAAGTGTTTTTGGGTCACACCTGGCAATGCTTAGGGATTCCTCCAAGCTCTGCACTCAGGAATTATTCCTGGTGATGCTCAGAGGGACCATATGTAATGTTGGAGATCGAACCTGGGTTGGCCGCATGCAAGGCAAGTGCCTACCTCCTGTGCACTACCACCCCAGACCAAATAGAGGAACCCTTGAAAAACGAACAAACAGAACCCTACAGGAAAGCCTTAGTTTAGCCACCAGAGACACATTATTTCAATTCTGCTTCTCTCCTTGAACATACAGCTCGTCAACGCAGTTCATGCCCGCACGAGCAAGCCCCAGGGCCCCTACTGAGACTTTATGACTTTTGTTTGTTCTGGCCCCACCTATTGGTGTTCAGGAGTTATCATAGTTAGGGCTTCCCACACGCAAGGCACGCGCTCTCCCGCTAAACCACACCCCTCCCCAGCTTCAAGCCTACTAACAACTACCTTTTAGTACTATGGCACTTGGACTTGAACTCCAGACCTTCTCTCGGTAGCTGTGAGATCATCAGCTGCCTGGCAGGAAACCCGGCACACAGGGACAGTCAGAGCAACTCTGGGGGCTGGAGTGACAGCACAGTGGGTGAGACGTGGCCTTGCCCTGCACATGGTCAACCTGGGTTCAACCTCTGGAACCCATCTGGTCCCCTGAGCCCAGCCAGGAATGATTCCTGAGCGAAGAGCCAGGAGTAAGCCCTGAGCACTGTCAGGTGTGCCCAAAACAAGCAACAACAATAAATATTAACCTTGATGTACTCTGACTGAAGTTGCATCAATCTTATCAGAACTACCCTTCATTCCTGGGCCAGAGAGATAATACAGCAGGTAGGGCACTCACCTTGCATGCATCTTTACCTAGGTTCTATCCCTGGCATCCCCTAGTTCCCTCAAGTACTGCCAGTAGTGAGGCTTAAGTGCGGAGCCAGGAGTAACCCCTCAGCATCACGGAGTGCGGCACAAACACACACATGCACACAGACACACACAGACACACACACACACCCCTCGATCACTTCATATCTATCTTTAAAAATAAACATACCTGTATTCAAGCCACATACAAGTGATAAAATTAATCTCAACTTTAAGATATCCATTTAAGGCTCGTCCTAATTCTCTCAAAGGCATTCGTAGTGCCATAAGCCTTTTGCTCCTCAAAGGAACACAGAGCAAGAGTCTTCACCTGCTCCCCGCTTTCTGCCACACCAATGGACTGACCACACGCGTCTTCCTCGCGGCTCTGAGCACTGAACTCAAAACACTTGAACACTGTGGAGTTCTGGAGACTATTTGTTCCTATTGTGGACTGTCCCAGCAGTCCCAGGCCCACCCAGCCCTAGGACACATCGCTCATCTGTCCTGGCAGCTTCCTCCTGAGCACACTCACACTTCACCCCCCACTGAGTCACTCTCATTTCTGCGTGTGTGTCTCAAGCAGCTACTTGGACTGGACGCTACGGCTGGTGAGGAGAGGATCTTCGATTCTGCGAGTGACTAGCCATGCGCTGCTCAAACCCTGTGCCCGCACGCTCATCAGACCCTCACGGCCGTCTAGACCTGAGAGGTGAGGCTGATTCATCCTTAGTCAGGAACTGCTTTCAGAGAACCTGCTGCGTGCTCACGGAAGCACTTTCTGAATAAGATTCTGCTTAAATTAAGAAAAAGAAAAGGCTCCAGTTTCTCCCGGTGGCATCATGCCGCTCTCAAAGCAAAGCCTTCTTAGACACCTTCTCCAACTAACGTGTCTCTGAGGCTCTAGCGAATGTTATTATCCTCTTCTTGCAGGGAGGGATGGGGGTGGGTATGCACACCCAGATGGCCAGGAGGGCTTCCAAGCTCTGTGCCTGGGACTGGGGGGTGGGGGGGCTGAATCTGGGTTCCTACAAGCTAAACATTCACTCAGCCCTTTCAACTACCTCCTCTCCAGGCCTTTTCCTTTCTTTAAAATTGGAGGGAGTTGTCTGGGCCACACCCAGAAGTGATGGGGTTTGAGGAAGGCCTACTCCCACTTCAGTGCTCAGGGGATCGTGCAAGCAAAGGGATTAAACATGGGCTTGAGCCTGGGGGTGAAATCCAGGTTCCTGCACTGGAAGCTTGTACCCCAGCCCACGGGCTGATACCCCACAGCCCGTATGTGTTATTTCTTTTTGGGTCACACCCAGCGAAGCTCAGGGGTTACTCCCAGCTCTGCACTCAGGAATCACTCCTGGTGATGCTTGGGGGAACACAGGGGATGCCGGGGATTGAAACAAACTCTCAACCCGCTATACTATCGCTCCGGCCGCATTGTTACTTCTAAAGCAGCTTAGATTTCATGAAAAATAAATGAGAGAACGCACCCTAAAGCTCACAACTCCAGAATTATCTCCGCAGTCGCCTCGTCCAACAGTTCCCTTACCAAAATGAGACAAGATAAAACCAAATGAACTAAAATCTGGAGACAGAAGCACCCTGTGTCACGGCAGGGCCGCAGTTAAGGAGACAGGCCCTGTCTGACCTCAGGTCAGGGCCGGTTTTCCCAGGCCAGGGGTGCGTGACCAGCCTTCAGTCCACAGGGAGCAGAGAACAACAGGTTCACGGCGTCACTAACATGCGGACCAGCCCGGATGAGACCACCGTGGTCACAGGCTGGAGCGACGGGGCTTTTGCTTCTCCGACTCTCATCTTCTTGTCAAGCTCAAGGGAGCCGAGTTCTCCTGAAAGGGCAGCTGAGCCTGGGGCCTGGCCGGCTCACCGTCCCAAAGCAGTCATAACCTATTACGACCCAATTTAGCCCTACTGGGGGGTTATATAGTTAAGGAGGGAAAATTTGGAGCAATAGGAATTAAGAGGAAGATCGATTATTAGCAACTGAAGATGAGAAGGCTTTTCTTGATCACACTTATACCCTGTTCAACACGCACAGTTTGGGGATCCCTACATGACCAGGGGTAAATTGCCCTCTGCAGCGTTCCTGGGCACGGCTGACTGGACCAGCTGAGGACACTCACCGCAGGCAGTTCTACTCTGCCTCTCCTTCCTGTGGACCAGAGGCTCCCTCACAGATGTGGCCCACCGTCCCCATTTCAGGGGGGGGGGGGGGGGGGGGGAAGAAAAGCCTTAGTGCTCCCTGGAAATCTACCTTCTTTAGCTGAAGATGCAGAGAACAAGTGTGCACCCCCAACTGCACCCAAAGCCCCCACCCCAACTATTTCAACGCCCTCCGCGGGGTTGGGGGGATGGAGGCGGCATGGCCGTAGGGAGCAGCCTTGCCCACTTTGGGAAAGACTGGCCGGGGTGGGGAGCCTTTTTCTGCTAGGGCCCACTCACGGGCCACTGCAGGCACATGGCAAGAAACGTCACCTGCCCTGTCACGTGCTGGGGCAGTGCCCCAGGACTTTGTGGGTCCCAAATGCATGCTCCTCACTCTGACCTAGACTACTTATCAAGTCATGGTCAAAAATTCCCCTTCCTGGCCCCTGTCCCGGGGGCGGCAGTGGCCGTGCAGCGACCCCCTCCCTGCGGTGCTGTACATGGAGCATGCGGGCCGTGGTCTGCAGTCTGCACACTGGCGTGGACCTGGGCACTGGCCCCACGCGGAGCTTGAGGTGAGTTGAGTCACAGATCAACATGAGTGCTAAGGACAGGAAATAGCAGTGGGGCAGTGTCACGCGGCAATGCTACGCAGGAAGTCGGGGTGATGCCTGCTGTTGTCCGCCTCAGCTGGGACGGGCAGGGGGAGCTTGGTGCTTCGCCAAGTGTGAAAACTGCACTGTTGGACCCATGACCACACCAGTTTTTTCTGAGCCCTCGGGGCAGCGCACCCTCACCTCGGGGTCTGGGTCTAACACCGGAACCCACCAACAGCAGCCAGCAGCCTGGAAAAGTCTCCCACTGGCTGGCGCCAGAAAACCACTCCTGCACTGGAAAGTCAAAATATCACCCAGGCCACGCTGACAGGGGAGGCGGCCGAGGGGACACACAGACGGAAAAGCCACGGACAAAAAGCCACGCTGACAAGGAAGGCCGACACATGCACCATCGCCTGTTTTTTTGCCCCTTAATGAAATAAAACAAACGCATGACGCCCAACCAAAAAACACAAAGTAGAAGCACATTCCCGAGGTGGAGATGAAACAGAGGTGTGCGGTCGCCGGGTGCTCAGGAGACGTTTACACTGGCCGTACCGGCTGGTGATATTTTGACTTTTTTTATTTATTTATTTTTAAATGCTAAAGGTAAATTACTTTGTTCTCTCAACACCCCAACCAGAGCGGAGACAGTAATAAATTATAAATGCGGATGGAGCAAACATCCACGGGGCGTGAGGACGAGGGGTGGGGGGAGGGGAGAAGGGGCAGGTTTCTGTGCTGTCGCTGCAGGCAGGAGAGCTGAGCGGTTTGCAAACTCATTCCAGGCGCCTAGTTTGCCATGAAGGGTATCACAGATCCCGAGGCCCGCCGCCTACCCCTTCTCCTCTTCTCCGAGGGCACCTACCTTACTGTAAGTCACTACTGATAAGTTGTTTGCGTGACTGCTGGGGGACAGGTTTACAGAGTTCTGAGAGAGTCTATTCTCATCTTGCTCGGTTTGGTCGGGAGCAGGAGCCCATGTGTTTTTGCTGATCGAGTCGAACCCGGAACCCCCAGGGTCTTTTAGGTTGTTTTCATCTGATTGTCGGTTCTTTTGGGGAGAGGCAAACGGGTTGAAGTTTCCTTCTACCTTGCGGTGTGGCTGTGTGTTGAACTCCGTTTCAAATGACGACAGCTGCTGCGTTACTCCTAAAAGTCCACCCACCTCCACACTGAGAATCACCCAGATGACATCTGAAACGAGAAGGAGAGTCGGTCAGTGGCCAGCCCAGCAGCACCACGAAGCCCAGCGAGGCCCCACACCATGTATTATATTCTGTAATATACTGGTTTCAAATGTAAACATATTAGCCCAACACGTTTGCACCGTGCGAAATTCCACGGTTCTGGTTTTGTCAAGTCCAAACTCTTGACACGTTCAACATAAGGTCCTGGCAAGGACCCTTCTCAGCCCCTGCAGAACTACCTGTGAAAAACTGCTGCCCAGGCACGTGTGGAGACCATCACTTCAGAGAACAATCAGTAACAGGAACCGAAAGGCAGCTGCCCCGGAACTACAAGCCCCCTGTGGATCTTGCTCTGCTCTGCTTTACTTTCATGTATTTATTTAACTCAGAAATGGCCTGGAGGGCAATTCTTAATTTTTTTTTTTCTCAAAGCTATATAACTACCACAACTGTAATTTATAAGCCACCCTTCAACCTTTTCAGGCAATCTAGGGTGACCATAGACTGTCCAAACCAGGACAACTAAGAGTGGGAGAGGGAACTTGATACGCACACCAGGACACTGGTCAAAACCAGCACCGACACTGACCGATGTCAGACAGATCCCATCCTTGGCTGTTCTCTCAATCATGTGCTCAACAGCTACCAAAACCTTATTTAACACTGACTTTGCCTTTCTACTTACTTGATAGGGAAACCCTACTATTCTGAAACCACAGGGAACTTGTTTAAAAACCATACCTAGAACTTTTGGTCATAATTTAATTCGTTATTATCTCAGTTACCAAAGCGAAGGAATCAGGTAAAATCAAACAGGCAGTTTCCCTTGATGTTTAGCACCTCAACTAGAGAACAATGACATCTTTCTGGTCGGAAGGTTTTCACAAAAAGCAAGCTGAGGAAGAAAGGCCAAGAAGCTTTAAAGCGTGATGTTTGCTGAAAACAAATAAGAAGTCCATGGCTAGGGATGTGGTTCAGGGGTGAAGCTAAAGTCTTGTATGCAGGAAAGTCCTGGGTAAGATCCTGTAGTACAAAAAGAAAAGGGAAGGAAGGGAAGAAGAAAGAAGGAAGGAAGGAAAATAGGACCAGAGAAAAGGTACAACAGACTGGGCACATGCTTGACTCATGGTACCAACTCATGCAAGAATAGGCCTAAGTACTGCCACTAGGTATGGACCTGCCCCACAGTAAAACCAACCAATAGAATAAGAAGTGTTTAGGCTGCTGCTGAAAGGTTGATAGGAAAAGACAAGAAATTTTTGATAGGAAAAGAAAAAAAAAGACAAATTCTACCCGTTAGCTACAGAAATGCAGGTAATACTTATACCTAAGTTTAGGAGCTGGAGAGAGAGTATTGCAGGGCGTGTGCTTGCCTTGCACATGGTCAATGCTGGGTTCAACCTCCAGCCCCATTTGGTCCCCTAGCTCCACCAGGAGAGATCCCTGAGCACAGAGCCAGGAGTAAACCCTGAGCAATACCAGGTGAGGCCCAAAAACCAAAACCAAAACACTTCAATACTTCAATGGATAGTGAAGAAATTTGAGCAAACTTCACTTGGGATTCTCAATGTGGGTTCTGTACCTGAGGAATGGTATCAGGGTGTCAGATAGCTATAAATACTCAATTTAAGTTCAGTGCTTGGGAGACAAATAAGGACTTGGCTGTACCCAGCCGTAAAGCGCAACCTCGGTGGAGATGCAGTGACATCTGCTGTTCACTTGTGGAATGTACAGTTCTTCCGCCTCCCGAGAAAAGGAAGAGAAGTCCCCAGCATGGGCGTGACTGACTCATGGGAGCAGGCATCCACTCCCAACACCTTTATCCCAAAAGCAAATGTGGATCCTCCTGTAAACCAGTGTCATAAACGTCCGGTTTGTTGGCTCAACACTAGGTCAGGATGTGCACGTGGCACTGCATGTAGCAAACTGGGATGCTGGTGAGTCAGGGCTGAGTCAATACCATCAAACAATCAAATGTGGCCCTGAAAGGACACATCCCTGCACTGCTATGGACCAAGGGTGGCAAGCCTGCTTCTCCCAGCACAATGACGCCCACTTCCTGTTGCCAACCTGTTTTCAAACTCTGGTTGTCTTTCTTTCTTTGCTGTATGTTCCGTGCTCTTAGCTCAAGAAACTCTCCATAGGCAAAAGGACAGCTTTCTAAAAAGCTGTTTCCCCTTCTCCAGTCTTTAAGGACTAAAGCTCATATAATATATAATGCTATATACTAAGTCATATCATAATTAAGGCACAACACTCTCTTCACCTTGGTTACTTTTTTTTCCCTTTACAATTCAGGGTCTACATAGAAGCTATAAAATGGTCATTTAAGAATTCACTTATTGGAGCTGGAGCGACAGTACAGCGGGTAGAGCGTTTGCCTTGCATGTGGCCGACCCAAGTTCAATGCCCGCATCCCATATGGTCCCCCAGCAATGCCATGAGTAATTTCTGAGTGCAGAGCCAGGAGTAACCCCTGAGCATCGCTGGGTGTGACCCCCCCAAAAATTCACTTATTTATAAAAACTATTATTAAATCCTCCAAGATTATCAACAATAATGGGTCATTCATTCTACTAGCAGCAAAGCAGTTCCCCCCCCCCACACACACACCCCCAATATGGTACAATTGGAGTCACACTGATTATCAGATCTCACATTTCAGAAAGTAACTGAGTGAAGGTTTTTTTTTTTGGGGGGGGGTGATGTATCAAAATTAAAGATTAGAAAGAAGGGTCCAAAGAATGTTTTTTCTTTTTTTTTTTTTGGGGGGGGGCATACCCAGCCATGCTCAAGACTTACTCCAGGCCTCTGCAGTTAGGATCACTCCTGGCAGACTAAGTGGAGACCACACAGAGTGCCATGGATCAAGTCCAGATTGGCCACATGGAAGGAAAATGGCCTACCTTCTGTCCTATCTCTCTGGCCCCAGGATTTTCAATTTTTGCAATAATGTCTTGATTACAGAGCCATATATCTTATATTTATCTGCAATAAAAACGTCATTGGAAGAACTCTTTGGGGCCATCTAATGGAACTTTTGTTTGTTTGGGGACCACACTCAGGTCTTACTCCTGGCTCTGTGCTCAAGGATCTCTCCTGGGGAGTTTGTGAGGCCATATAGGGAATCACACCCAGGCCAGCTCTGTGAAAGGCAAGCACCTTACCCACTGTTTCATCATTCCAATCAAACCAACTCACTTTCTGAGATCAACAATCTGAAGTCTAGATTAAGAAGTGACGGGTACACAGTCAGACTTCAGTGTAAGTGACCTAAATGACAATTCTTAGCGTAGCTTTTTGTTTTGTTCTCTGTTTTGGGGTTACACCCGGGAACGGCTCAGGGGCTACTTTTGGCTTTACTCTCAGGAATTACTCCGGGTAGGCTCTGGGGACATAAGGGATGCCGGGGTTTGAACCTGAGTCGGCCATGTGCAAGCAAGCACCTTATCCTATCCACTGTACAATCGCTCCAGTCTAGTATACCTTTTTGAACTCATACCTGTGTCTTTCAAACAGAACCTTGAGAATCCAAAAACCGAGGAAACTAGAGCTTCAGCACCGTAACTAGAATGGGCCAAAAAGATGTCCTAGAAAGAAGTAATCTAGAAAGAAGAAACAGTGTGGAAGAAAGAACTCGGTGAGTTAGACTGCACTCTTGGCATCTGGGAGGCCAGGGCTCCACCCCTGGCTCTCTCATGATCCTGAACACTGACAGGAGTGGGAGGACGAGAGGAGAGAGGGGAGACAGGGAGAGAGAATCAAACGTCATGCTCATGTACCCAGGACAGATGAACTGATTTTAGAATATTTAGCCTTAAGGTGACTCTTTCTGCCTTCAGAAACTCATGCGTCAGAAGGTATTACACCATCAGGGGCTGGAGCACACACTTTGCGAGCTTCACACGAGGGAGTTCAAGCCCAATGCCACGGCAACATCCAGTCCCCCAAGCACTTCCAGGAGTAGCCCCTGAACATCAATGAGTGTTCCCCCCTCAATTTTTATTTCATTAAACTCATCCCCCCTTTACATATGATAAAGCCTTCAATTAAGAACAAACTTCCCTTTGCAGAAATATTCAAGAAGAGAACCATCATTTTATTTCTTAAGTTTAGACTACCAGAAGAGCAGATTAAAAACAATGAACACATGCTCTGAGTCCAAGCATATAACCTTAATCATGTTGATATATTAAGACATTAGAAGTCTGGAGAAAATTATCTGGAAGTTAATTTTCTGCAGTTATCTGGAAGTGAGCACCCCGGTTAAATTATATCACAATAAATAACCTTGTCCAAGATTTGCCCACTAAAATAGAATTGTTAAAAACCAGTACCTGGGGCTGAGTGATAGTACAGCAGGTAGGGCACTTGCCCTGCATGAGACCAACTCAGTTCAGTCCCTGGCACCCCATAAAGCTCCCTGAGCACCACCAGGAGTGATCCCTGAGCACAGAGACAGGAGTTAAGCCACTGGGTGCAGCTCCCAAACCAAGCCAACAAAAACACCTGGGTTGTAAGAAACATGGTAAGACTGAGCAACTACGCAAACAGAGAAGACGGGGACACAACTGAGAGGGCACGGATGCTGGATCCCCGGAGAGAAAGAAGTGGGGGAATTCAGGAAGCCCAAACTCTGGAGCTCAGTTGAGGCCAAGGCTGATAAGCTCATTCTCCGCCCCATGGTTGTTATACAAGGTGCTAACAATGGGTGAAACGGGGTGCATTTTTCAACTTTACTATAAATCTAAAATTCCCAAGTAAAGGCCTCTCAAAGAAACTCAATACAGGATTAGAGAATCAGGCTCAGACACTGAGGGAGAGCTATAACGGAGCCAAAGAAAGCATGATAAGGGTCATGAACTGAGCAGATGGCGTAAGAACAAGGCTGGGGGGGAGTGCGGGGAGCACCGGCGCAGGCTCTTACCAAGCCATCCGTGGGCAGCGCGGGAAGGGCTGGCCAAGTCTTCCAAGGCGGAAAGAGCACCATGACACAAACCCTCGCCT